TGGAGCCTAATGTGGTTCAAATGAAATTTAAAATCATGTTAGAGTTCCCTTACTGTCAGCCATAAAAATTGTAAGATTCATCCAAAATGCACACAAAAATAAAAGCAGTTACTTATAGTCAATCAACTCTACAATGCAATAAGACAGAAGAAATTGCTTGAAAACTATTCTGAATTGAGTGGGGTTGATTCAGATTATTGAGCTGTTTGAGGTGATTATTTAACACAAATAACCTGGAAGTGCATGTAACTCAATGATGTCACTCATTGGCTATCATAATGACGAGGAGCTGGAACCAGCCAAAGAATAAAAGGTCAGTTAATACAAATATGAGGATGGTCCAATGACCAATAAAAAACGAATCCCAAAAGATATGCAAACATTTAACAATAAAGCAACACATCTACACTTTTTAAGCATATATGTGCCAATCATTGATATTTAAAAACACATGTAATGAATAGATTTGACCATAGGAAATACCAATTAGCTACCTTGTTTCCATACCTTTTTGTATGAGTCCAGCAAACGCATATATCTTCGGTTAATTTCAAAGATATATGTGTTTGCTGGACTCATATAAAAAGAAACTCATGCCATCAACAATAAGCTAAATATTGGATTGGATAAATATAAAATACTGGTTGCTCTGCAAAAATTATCGGATAATCTCTTAAACAACATTTTTATTTTTCAACTGCATCCAAAGGATCCGGTGAGACCAATTCATGAAAATTTTCATATTCAAAGACATGCCTCAGTTTATAATTGCACATAAATAGGTAACAAGCAAGCAGACTCGGCGGAGAATTTGTGTCAGGAGCTTCTCTGAATTCCACTAATTAGCAAGTGAAGATAAAGCAGCTTGAAAGATCTTGATTAGTATAATGCAGCACAAAGAAGCTAGCATTCCAAGTACAATGCCTGCAACAGTAAAACCCAACTGTTGTCATGTTGTACTCTTCTCAGAAAGTGACCTTGTGAACTTGCAAAATCTGCTACATTGCATCGCAGAGTAAAGCACACTTCCAAGTGCACTTTTAAAGACTTTGGCTACACTAAAAGAAATTCAATTGGATTAATAAATAACGCTCAAAGGCACACCTAAACAGGGCTAATATGCTTCTTCTAACACCTTCTCGGCTACCCAAAGTAGAGATTCCTATACATGTGTTAGTCCATTTCTTAAAGAATATGTCCTTTTGAAGGAGTATTTCTATGACACTTTCATATCTGTATACAGCATCAAGGTGCTCTTTTAAGGATTACATAAACTAACAACACCAAAGTAAAGCCAACTGCATACAAAACACTTAAACATTGCTACTTACAAGGCAAAGTTAACATTCTATTTAACTAAAATAAAACAATAGGGAAATTTACATACAAATCACACAATTAAATCAGCCTAAAAATTTACATGCAAATTGTTCGCTCCAGTTAAATTGTTTGGCAGAAAATTTAAGTAAATTCCATCAATCATCTCCAATTTACACAAGGTTAAATATTCATAATAGTAGCCACAATTTCATATATATTCTAAACCTCATTATATTAACATAAAGAGAAGCATGTTCAATTGTGAAAAATTAAATCAAAACACAGGAATGACAATTGTAATAATAATGACATAATCATGTTACACTAAAGACTAACTATAATAAAAGAAACACTCAAACAAAGTGTTCGAGATGAAAAATGTAAATATCACCTACAATTAGGAAAACTAGAAATGCACCAAATACTTTGAAAGAATGTACTTTTATGATGTCCATAATAAATGTTTATTCTAATCCAAAATAAACATGATTTATAATCCATAAAAGCTAGTTTGATTCGATCTGCTCCTGCTATCGCATCAGCTATCCGTTCCCTCAATTCTGCCATTTCGCTTGCACCTTCCCCGTCTACAGTGCAGGTGGTTGAAGCATCATTCTCCACTTCTGTGAAAGAATGACCTAAACGATATTCAAAGGCTTCTACAGGCACATTTTCTTCATCCTCTTCCGCCGAATGGAAGTCGATATCATTACGTGAGTGATGTCTTCTAATGTAATTATGGAGGGTCATTGTAGCGAACACAATTTGTAATTGCTTGGAGAAGCTGTAGGGAGGCATATCACGGACTATCACCCATTTCTTTTTCCACACACCAAAGGTCCTCTCTATTACACCACGTAACGATGAATGTCTTTTATTAAACATTTCCTTTCTGCCTCGTGTAATGTTGTTAGCACGTGCAAAATCTGGTATGTGATATCTCGTGTCAGGAAATGGTGTTAGATATCCTCGTTGCAATGGGTAACCAGCATCGACCAAATAGTATTTGCCTGATAAATCAAACAATTAATATGAAGCTTCAAGTTGGACATTCATTGAGCTCAATCCCGAGCGTACCTGTAGGTGGATGTGGAAATTTGGTATTGGGATCCCGCGTCGCAGATTTAAAAACTCGACTGTCATGTGCGCTGCCCTCCCAACCAGCCTTAACAAAAGTGAAACACAGATTGAAGTCGCAAACGGCCATGACATTTTGGGTGGGGCTACCACAACGGCCGATAAATGCAACCTTATCATTTTTTGGGATACGTGCGTCAACATGTGTTCCATCAATCGCGTCGATGCAGTCCTATTTAAGTTAATGTTAGTTTTGACATATTTGTGGAAATTCTAACAAAATTAACTATATTGCATTCGATAAAATACCTTGAAGAAGGGCATATATCGCGCATCCTTCGTTATCTCAGCAGGTGTTTGCTTGAACTTATAATCTATGGGTCTAATGACATGATAGAACAGACTAACAAGTGCGGCGCTCAATCCGATTGAGAAGTTCTTGCTTTTTGTTTTAGATGAGTGCTGAAACCGCTCCATCGCTCCTCGCATTGACTCATTTTGGGATAATGTAAATAGTGTTATTGCGAGCACGTCACGTGGAGTGGTCCTCGAAGATCCACGAAGGCCGTGAGCTCCTACAAGTAATTCCAGGAGATTGATAAATATTGTCTTTCTCATTCGAAACATATTAAAAAATATTGTTGGGTGCCCTGCAAGAAACTCTCCAACCCATTTATCACCAATATATGAAGATGTCATGCATGGCGATCGATCAATGTACGCGTTGTAGTACTCGTGCATCAAACATATTACCGTCAGAAACATCCCTTTCCGCTTTCTTCTTCGTGAGTCAATGTGATCCTCTATTTGTCTTCTTCTGTTTGCATTCATGGTGATTATTATCCCTAAGTATAAATAGATTGACAAGTGCATGAGAGTTTGAGACATAAAAAAGAGATGTTTGCATATAATTAGAAGGTTACAACAGAGATAAAAAATATAAAATAACTTAAATGTTCAAGTGATCATAAAAGATAATGCAGTAGAAAGGTTCTAAGGATGAAAAATATAAAACATCTGAAATGTTTATACGATTATAAAAATGCCGAATAAATGCAACTCTGTGGGCTGCTGGCATCTTTACAAAGATATCTCTACGAACCGGGTCCTCTATTAATTCTGCTGTGAATAGATATAAATCTTTATCTGCATAAATTTTGGTTGTAGTGCTTAAGATTTCAAGTGCCTCCTCGATAAAGCTTGATTGAGAAGCCTGACATTCTGCCTTGAAAAAAGAAACCGCCTCGGATAGCTCGAGTCTGAGGGAAGAAGCACCAGATTTTCTTTTACCAATAACCTTTAGACGTTTGGAACGAGAAATTATTTCATTTTCGTTTTGATCTGGGCTGGGGACATCAATGAAATCAACTGAATCTCCAGGGGTTCCCAAATTCACGGCATTGCCAGCAAACCCTGTCTCGCTTGGGCTACTTGCATAGATCCCCGTTGGAACCACACCTCCAAACATGCGATCGAGTTTTTCCTCAAATTCAGGCTCTATTCCAGAAAACTTAAATTTCTTTGCAGCGGGCACCACCTACATGGAATTTGATAAACACCCAATTAATAATAAACATATGAAGATACAAATTTGCAAAGTGTAGAAAAAATTCTCACCGCAATTCTGTCAGCCCACCATTCATCAGGTGCATCAACTGTTTGTTTAACTGGATCCCAACCCAGACACGTAGATCCCCTCTTCAATTCTTTCCAAATTTTCCAGTCCTTCTTCAGTTGGTCCCACTTGTTCTTCATTTGCAACTTGTCGTACTCCCTGCCTGTACATTCCTTGAAACATCTGATAATATTTTGCCACCCTTCTTTATTAAAAAAAGTCGTAGGTCTATTTCCCCGTTCAATCTCTTTAAGACAAAGATCGCAAAATAGTATTTTTGTTTCTTTTTCCCACAATGCAGGTGTAGCAACCTCTTTAGATTTATTGTTCATGTTATGACTAATCAAAACAAAGCCATGAAACGTCAAGTTAAAATCAAGTAAAAAGTAAAAAATCAAATCAAACTTGTGCAAATATCATCAGTTAAAGAGTAAGAACTGTTATAACTATAAAGAGAACATATCTACCAGTCTAACTTGTAAAGTTTGGTAAATTTTGAAATTAGAGTAAGAATCATAAGTTATAATTCATGCAAGTATATATGTAATATTTTTTTTTGATATTAATTGCAGCTGTTATTCATCCATTTTGCAGAGCATGCTGTCTAAATAAAAGAACAACAACAAAATATGGGGTACAAAATTGGGAGAAGATATACCTGCTTCAATCAGGTTTGGGTGGGGCGGAAGGAGGCAAGCTGCTTCGATCAGCACAAAACACCCGAGCAATCGGTAGACAAGCATTGGCTAGCCTAGGAAGGGGAGGAGAAGGGGAAGTCTTTGCGAAGTGATCAACGAGTAGGGGCTTTGAAACGGGACAATCGAGCGGGGTGATCGAGCAAGAATCAGCGGTTTCCCTAACAGGGGGAGGAGAAGGAGGAGTCTTCGCGAAGGGAGCGAAGGGAGCAACGAGCGGGGCTTCGGAGCGGGACGATCGAGCGGGAAGCGGCGGTTTCCTGAACAGGGGAGGAGAAGGGGGAGTTTGGCAAAGGGAGGAATCAGAGTAGATGATTCGGAGTGGGGCGATCGAGCGGGTTGATCGAGCGGGAAGTTGTGGTTTCCCGAACAGGGGGAGGAGAAGGGGGGTTTCGCGAAGGGAGCAACCAGAGCAGGAGCTTTGGAGCGGGGAGATCGAGCGGGAAGCGACGGGTTACCGAACAAGGCTAGGTTGCTCTCTAGCGGGGATTTGGAGCGGGGCAAAGGAGCGGGGGGCAAAGGAGGCAATAACCCTCGAGAAAGCCAGGCCACGGGGTCGACCCCGCGACCTGCTTTCTTCCTTTTTAGCGGCAGTCGACTGCTGCCGCCAAAGGAAAGCTCGCATATTCAATATTAGCTTTTTGGTTTGGGACCGCGACGCTCAAAAAACGCGGCCCCAAATGAACCCTTAGTGTGAAAATTTCTGTAAGAGTGTTGTAGAAGGAGAAAAGTGAGAGAATTCCTGTTCCTGCATTTCTAAGGAAAGGCTACAAAGGATTTGCTTTGAGAAAAGTTCCAGATAAGTTTTCTTGTATATTTAGTGTTGTATTAACTTTATTTTATATATGAAAATTGTGTTTTGTCTCATCTTTCTCATGAAGTCTGAGTAGTTCCCTCTATCTTTCCCCCTTCTCTGAGATATGGTGAAATGGAAAGATAAAATGAATGTGCCATGATCAAAATATAAAATAAAATGTGATGATTTTTTAACTCCAAACTTAATTTACTTTTTAGTCTGGCTAATTGATTTGTTAAAATATGTTGCGAAATATATGATCTGGGAAAGGGAGTATGAGTTCTACAACAAAGTGAGGATCACATTTGATTTCATGAAGGAGAAATTCGTTCAAAAAATTAAGTGCAAATAAATAGGAAAATATTCTTTGTTGGGTGTACAATTGGAGAATCTTTAGAGTGACAGACTAAAATCCCCAATTTTGTCTTAGTGTTTAAAAACTAAAGCGAGAGTTAGCCTTCAGGTGAAGGGAAGTGGGAGTTCTGGAGTGGGAGCCGGTATTTTCATAGCCTAGCCACGGATTTACAGACTAAACCTAAGAATAGCCAATGATTTTCTATGCACTGTATCAGGGTAGAGAATTAAAATTGCTCTTATTTGGCACAATATATTTTCATCTCATTTCACCAGAATTTCATTGTAGTGGGAAGGATGTTTTTTTACATAAGAAATCTTCATTACCTAAACATAGTTCTTAGATTTGTAGTTAATATTTAAAAGTTGCATTTCCATTTTTGCTAATAGTTACATAACTTAGTTTGGTTAAAATCTCAAAATTCAAAATTAGTGATAGTGATTTCATTTGATTCTCTGTAATTTCTTATTAAAATTTATCATTGCTAACTTACACCTTCCCCGTGGGATCGACATTGGGGCTTAAATAGAAAGTTAATTATTACTTGATAGAGTACATATACTTACTTGCGTAGAATCCCATTATTAATTGCCTATAATTATATATATTTTACACAACTTACTTTTCATATAAGGATCAAGTTCTTTGTGTTGTAGTAGTATCAACTTCATAAATACTTACATATCAAATTTTGGGATCATATGCTGACATTGTGAACTTTATTGTTAGGGATATTATACTTGTGGAATGAAATACCAACAAAAGAGGAAATTTTTTTCTGAAGCTAATACTTATTTTTGGGATAACCCGTTTTTATATAAACAAGGAAATGATCTAATTATTCGAAGATGTGTACCATTAAAAAAAACTTATGAAATTATCCAAAAATATCATAATTCTGATTTAGAGGGACATCTTGGTGTTGTTATGACAACATACAAAATTATACAAAATTTTACAATCTGAATTTTATTGGCCTACAATTTTTAGAGATGTTAATGCTTATATGAAAACTTTTGATAGATGTAAACGAGTAGGCAATATTTGTAGAAGAAATCAGATACCCCTCAATTATATGCTAGAAATTGAAATATTTGATGTTTGGGGATAAGATTTCATGGGACAATTTATACCATCTTTCAAAAGTTTATATATTCTACTAGCAGTGGACTATGTATCCAAATGGATAGAAGCTGTTGCTTTACCCTGATGTAAAGCTCAAAGTGTTGCGAAATTTTTGAAAATGAATATATTTTGTAGATTTGGGATGTCGAGTGTTATCATCACTGATGGGGGAAGTCATTTCAAAAACGGCATAACGGAGAAGTTATTAAAGAAATATCATATAATTCATAGGATTGCTACTGCTTATCATCCTCAGACAAGTCTTTTGGCTGAATTATCCAATCAGGAAATTAAAAGAATTATGGAAAAAGCTGTGAATCCATAAAAAATGGATTGGTCAGTCAAACTTGACTATGCTTTGTGGGCATATAGGACTGCATACAAAACTCTTATAAGAATGTCCCCATATAGGCTAATATTTGGGAAAACTTGTCACTTAGCAGTTGAACTTGAGCATAAAGAATATTGGGCGATTAAAGAGTTAATTTATTATTTAAAAGATCTAGTGAGAAAAGGTTATTGCAATTAAATGAGTTTGAAGAGATAAGGAATGAATCTTATGAGAGTGCTAAGATTTATAAGGAAAAGATAAAGATGTGACATGATCAAAGGATTCTTACTAAAAATTTTCAGCCACGACAACAAGTTTTGCAATCTAATGCAAGGTTAATATTATTTCCAGGAAAACTTATGTCCAGGTGGATGGGCCCATTTGTAGTGATAAAAGTTTATCCTTATGGAGCAGTGGATTTTAAAGATCGTAAGTCTGAGAAAATACTTAAAGTTAATGGACATAGATTGAAACCCTAATTTATAGGGGTTCGTCATAAACTTAGTGATGGAATGATGTTGGGTCAACCAGAATAAGCACTGGTTATGTCGGGCTTACGATGTAAAACCAAGTGCTTTGTGGGAGGCAACCCATAGTTATAAAAGTGTTTTTTTTTTATTATTATTTTTTTTAGCTTAAGAAAATTGAGGTAGTATTTTTGAAACTATTATGTGTTGTAAAGATTTTAAGACTTTATTTAGTGACCAAGACACGTTAGAATGAGAATTTGGATGTTAACTTGACTAATGCAAAAATGTGCACTGGCGCTTTCGCGCGTATTCCAATTCTTAAGCACGAGCAGTTTATACACATGTGTGAAATTAAAATTCTTGAAGTCTTAACCGCCAATTTGTTTGTAAAAACATGCCAAGGTAGTTTATAAATGTGTCTAGGAGTTATTGGAAGGATTTGAGCTTATAAATTTGAGGGTTTTGTGAAGGAATTTCACCCCATATTATTTCTAGCTCTAAAACTCTAAGAGAAAGTGAGATTTAGAGAAAATGTCTTCATGGGAGATGGATTTGAAGTAGAAGGAAGAAACCATGAAGAAGAGGTTCATTAGTCAAATTGCACAAGAGATGTATAACGGTTTCTTAGCCATTAGTATTGAAGGGATATTAGAGAAGATCAACAAAATTGAGAATATTATGGCTTTATTGGAGACCAAAGTACTTGAGTTGCATGCACATATAGAGTATATTAGATGGAAATTGAAGATGTAATTCAACCATATTAGTTATATAGAGGAAGCAAATATGGCAATGTTCATAAAGAATAAGTGAATTGAAGAAGATAGTGTCAGAGCTCGTCACCACTGTCCGTTTTATCAACTCTATATTCCTGGAGAGAATAATAAAAAACAGGAATTTGTTCCTTCGAATGAAGAATGAAATTAATTTTAGTGTTAGAATTTTTGTGTTAGAAATTGTTTTTTTAAGTGGTTTATTGTTTAAGTCTTATTTTGAGTATTATGACTTCTTATATGTGTTTAATTGTGAAATGATTGTTATACATTTGTATTTAGAAAAAATTTCTCATCCAAGTCTATTTGGAGTGAGAATTAAGTTTTTTAAGGTATGTGTACTTGTTTGTCAATTAATATAATTTTGTTTGTGTGAAAATTTGTGTTATTTTTAGCATCAAATTGAAATAGTTATTATGGACAATTTTGAGAGAGAGGTAAGTTATAAGAAGTTGAAAATAGTCATTTAACTGCTATGAGATTATTTAGAGGTGGTTTACTTAGGCAAATAGTTCATTTTAATTGACTTTAAACAATTTGAAAATCGTTCCCTGACGCCTAAGTGCCACATCTTGCGCTTAAGCACGAGCCAACCCGAGAGGTATGTGTTTATGCTCCACTTACCCATGCTTAAGCACGGGTTCACAAAAATCAATTCGCGACCAGTTAAAATTGATATTTTGGCTCCAAAATAACCATTTTTATGCCTCCTGTCACTTTCAACCTCTATAAATCATGATTTTGGAAGGCTTGGGCACATCTAAAGTGAAGATTCCTTGGTGGACTC